TGGTGGTCAGCCTCAACAAACTTGAGGTTACAAGGCCACAGCGGGTCTATAATCCTATCACTGGATTATGTTCCCCCCACATTATTCACATTGAATCACATTCTGCCTGACGATGCTGCTACAGTGAGGTTGCCATGACTCCCTGACAGGAAGGGAAGAAGATAAAGATGTCATGATCCAATTCATCTGTGGAAGAAATTAATCATAGGACGTTAGGTATTGCTATAAGTAACCACAGCTGCCTGCTTCGTCATCCAAACTCACCTGTCCCCTCCTCTTCAGAGGGGTTCACCAAAAAAAACAACCGCATGGCTCGTGGCGCAGAAAGAAAGTTTTACTGTAGTTTTAGCTGTTTCAGTTTTTTCTATGCTGACAGGAGTCTAACAGAATACATTGAAAACATGGGGCACAGTTTTTTCTTTGGGCTTGTAGCAGCAGTGGAGAATAAACAACTGCTATGCTGCGAGACATAAGGAGGATTCTAACACCTTATCCTCAGCTCCCTGCAGAGCTGAATCTGTCCGTACATGTCTGTCCTCAGCTCGTGTTCATGGTGTGACACCAGGCATGAAACAGACATCAGAAAAAAATGACACAACCCACATTGCATGACACAACGCACGTTGAGAGGTGACTAAAAAAAACTGCCAGGACATGAATTATTTTGCTCTGGTAACAAAAAGTTGTGTTCCACGTCTTCACTTTGTGGATCTTGTTTTTCTGGGCGAAAAAGCCTCATTATCTCATGCGCAAGCTTGTTTTCTGCTTGTCTCCATGATGAGACAGAGCGTAAACATCTTTTGGCTGCGAGTTGGAGTCAATACGCTTGAAAATTCTTTGAAGAGTGTGAAATACAAGATAAAATCAATGTCTATCTCTCTTTCTGTCACCCCCCGCCCCCTCGGCTGCTGCAGCTGCTTCACGTCTACCTCCTTTTCCTCTTCTTTTTGACCCCCCCCCCCCCAACTCTGAAACCAGGGAGGAAATGGATGTGAGGGCATCTCAAGGGGACCACGTTCTTGTTGGAGTCTCGACTACGTCACTACCCTCCGTCACCTCGACGTCAAGACTACATCAGCCGCCCACTCGGCTCCGTACGAGAGGGGTCATCAAATCTGTCTACGCCTCTGTATCTCAGGTTGAAACAACCGATGAATCTCCTCTGTCCTCTCTGCCAGGCTTCCTCAGAAGAAACTCTTAGAATCCTTTCTTTAGGGAAAAATGATTCTAAGATGCTTCATGTGAATATCTGAGGTATCTGATATAAAATAACACATTTTTAAGATAAGTAATTGCTTGAATAAATTGCAGAAGATACATTTAAATGGAAAAAACAACTGTTTAAATAAATTTAGAAATTATAAAACTCTTTGGGGTTGTTATTTTCAGTTTTACTTTTATATATTTATGTGTTTAACTATACACAATCAACTTTTAGAAAAATATATTTGACATATTCTTAAACCTTTTAGTTCGGTCAATTCTCCATCTACCATCAATACTACAGTAAGCCTCCGAGGGGCGACACTTTTGTTATAAACATTAATGGTCAATTAATCACTAATAATGTTTTGAGAATGTAAATGGCACTAAATATGTGTGAGTCTGTTCTCTGTGCTCAGAGGAAACAACCAAAGTAAAACCTAAAATGTGTAATTACCTCTGTAGAGGCGGTTATGTATTTTTTTTGTTTAATTCAGACCCAGGATTTTATTCGGACTTTCTTTAACATTGTGAAATTTGGCATTTCGCAAGATTTTCATGGATCTTGATGAAAAAAATCATGCATGTTTATTGGACTGATGATTATGAGAATTTGAAGCAGATCCAATTCAAAATGGTTGGTTCCATGTGACATCGTTGGGCCTTGACGAAGGTATGTGCCATTCTAATCTACTCTTTGACGACCAAAGGTAAATGATGCTCTCGGCTGATTCTGGCAGAGAGTTTGTGAAACAATTTGGACCTGATGTTCTCCGCGCTGCCTTCTCAGCCTGCTCCAGCTAATTGGCTCCTCTGAGAGCCACACAGGGAACACATGCACTACATCCAGACACACACACACAAACACTCCAACAGAGGACCTCCCAGCCATCTGGTGGGGGGGGCTCACAATTACAGGTGCACCTTTGCTCCAGCTCTCCCCACTCAGGAGACGTGTGGCGCCCCACCAGTCTGCTGTTGGGTTTGATCAGAGGCGCTGTGTCGTGTCTTGTCATTGTTAAATCCCAAAACCCGCAGGTCACGACTCATGTGTACGTTTCGCCACACAGCTTTGAACTCTCATCCTGTCATCTTGATCTGATCAAGACGCATCACTGTAATGTACCACAAATCCCTGTTCACACAATCAGCCCACAGTGGTTCTCCCAGGGTGAATGGGAAATGTAGCACTGCTGACATCAAGTTGTGGAGGCAGGGAACTACACCTGAGTCAGGGCTTCATCATGACGATTCAACTCCAGCTCACTGGATAGTAAAAGTGAGTGAGTGAGAACCAGATTCAGCAGCTCTGGATGTTCAGCCGAGGGTTCAGAGAGACGGACCACTGTGGTCGGCTTCCTCTTCTGGGGAGGGGTCAGCAGTAGTCGCAGAAAAAGATGTCAGACTCCAGCCAACTTCTTACTTAAAGGGATGGTTCACCAAAAAATGAAAATTCACTCATCATCTTTTCAGCCAATTCCAATACAATTGAAGTAACTGGGGACCAAGTCTCAAAAAACAGAAAATGTTTCAAACTGCTCCTGTGGTGTCAACCAAGTATTTATAAATTCAAATGTCAAATGATTCCTTTCTCCATCCAGATTTTAGTTACCTGTATTTTTTTACACCTAGATGCAAGAAGAATTTAGACATCAAGGGATGATAAGAGTGAACTGCAAATTGAGGACAGAGTGAAGCTGTGAATGAGTCGACCTGCACGAGCTGACCTACGACATTAAATTCTGACAGCACGCTCTGTTTCTGACATTTTGTAAAACACAATGTAATGCACTGACTCTCTGGGTTTATAGGCTTCATCCTAAATGTTTAACCTTCTCGTCTCTGCAGCACAGATACCGCCTGTAGGCTGCGGACTTCCTCTGCTGGTGTCAAGAGGACGGACACTCTGCGATGATATACAGAGTTTAGAATGATGCATGACCAGTACAGGAAACAAATCATGTGTCAAGGGACAAAGTGAGTTTTGTTTGACGATGACATTGCTTCTCTTTATTATAGTCGAGACATTATGGGCCCTGTCAACCCATAGAGCTTTCGGGGGCCCCAGGGCAACAATGACCTGCTGGGCCCTTATTAACCTCTGTCCCTCACACACTGTGTCTGTTTCTCACTGCTGGAAGATTACTGTCTCAGATTTGATAGCCATATTCTGTGTGATTTCATAATGTCATGTATGTGTTGGGAATTTCAAGAACTTCAGAGTTGAAATTACAGAAACACAGTCATGCTGTGTATCCAAGCTTGAAGATATATGTTTGTGATAAACTATTTGTCCCACATATATGTAAAATATACTCTGTTCATGAATCAAACCTTATTTCCACTTCAGTCTATTTCAAAAACGTCAGTGAATTGGTAAGTCTAACATGTTTGTTGTATTATACGTCAGTTTGTGTCTTAGTCTTTGGTCCTTTTCATGATGAAAGAATCCTCAGCAGAAGCTTCAGTTTTTAAGAAATAGTTGAATGAAACTGGAGAAAGGAACTTTTCTTCGGCGTTAGCGGTTTTGTTTAAATGATCAATTAGAAATGATGTGTGCTTTATGTGGAATCTGTTGGTTTGGAGATCTTTTTATACCAATGCAAACATTATTCCTGATAATATAGAAAAGTTACAGTGGGGGCACAACACTTGTTTGTTTCAAGCTTGTATGGTAATTCTATGGATTCACATCAACTCTTGAATTTAACATCCAATTCGCTGCACTTTACTTTTACTGTGTTAATCATGGGTTTGATGTATTATTTTGATACATTAGTGGAAAAGGCAGCAAATTGGTCCACATCCATTAACCTGAATGAGTCCTGCATGAAAGCATGAGAGAAGCACTGTGCCACTGTTTCATATCTTGTTTATTTGTGTCGAGCTCAATGCTAAATAATACATGAATGAATAAACCCGGGCAGGGTGCGGGGGTCATCAATCAGGGTCCATCAGTAAAGCTCAGCAGGCTTATATATGACACCATGACATTCTATATACGAAGCTCAGGACGAAGACAGAATGTGTGTGAATTCTATGTTTTATAGAAATGAAGCAATTTAGATATTCAGCCCTAATGAGCTAAAGCAACAGTGACAAGGAAATTCACTTTGTAGCAGTCCCCCACCACGTGAGGGCGCAGTAGAGTAAATTGGAGCTCGGCCTTCTGAGGGCAGATGAACAACAGAATTTTAATTTCTTCTAAATTTGTATCTACCTCTTGATTCATAGTTAACTGAGCTTAGATTTTCTAATGAATGAAAGATTGTTTACTCATTTTTTACGTGATGACATCAGAAAACATTTTTTTCCAAAAGGTTTCCTTTTTTCACATAAATTTAATTTAAACTCAGAGAATATCCAAATATCTGATGTTAATAGCCTGATGTTGAACAGGAGCCATCTCCCGATTTGTAAAATACAGAGTGAAAAAAAAGATTTATTAAAAAAATCTCAAATAAAAAGTTAACTTGATAAGGTTAATGTATAAGCCAAGAGCAGTTAATACATTTAGGTTATGAGGTTATAAATACATCTTGCATCTCTAGATTATCTCATAACTACACAGAATATGTTGTGATTTACACAATTTCATGTTTTAATGCTTTCGCAGTAACGCTCGTGGGTTTGTAAACAGCGTGATTCTTCACACATTTGAAAAAAGAAATTTTGCAAAATATCTCCTCCAGAGATTATAAATGGAAATAGTGAGTGTGAGTGAGGGCAGCAGGAAACAGAAATCCATTTTATTTCATATTTGTGAAGTTTAAGGGCTAAGAAAGAGACACTCAATATGAAGTCAAAGAAATACAACTTTATTTAAGTGTAAACAAAAAAAACTGCATAGGAAATGTTTAAAGTCCACAGAGTACAGAGAGAGCAGCAGGTGGCCAATATATTATTGTCTCCTTTGCCTTATTTAGACTGAAGACCTGACATCTGCACTTCCACTCAGCACGTGCGTGTGTGTGTGTGTGTGTGTGTGTGTGTGTGTGTGTCTGTGTGTGTGTGTGTGTGTGTGTTCAGGGAGGGATGGTGGACTGGAAAATGCACACACATGCACACACAAAGGGATTTGACTGGCAGACTGACAGAAAGTCTCACTCACTCACTCACACACACACAAACACACACACACACACATACTCACACACACACAGCGGCATGGATGAGGAAGTACCAGCAGCACCCATCTAAACTCAGCTGGCCACGCTGGCTCGCCCTGCCTCTTGGACTGTGAGGAGGATACATTCAGTGGATCTCTGCTCAGACAACACAGATGCAGCGCACAAACACAGCGACCACTCCGCACACACCCGGCTGCTGGGAGAACAGGACACAAAGGAAACAACAAGAGCGTGGACAAGCTTCTGTCGTCCTATCGGGCCAAACGTCCCCCAGCTTGGCTGACTTTTTAAAAATGAACACGACGCAGCATGTTCCTCTATAAGCACATGATTCCACAATCTACTCGTAATAGTATTGCTGGACAAATTTAGAAACAAATCCTTTTTTCTGAATGTGGTCTCTGTTCAGTCTTATAAGGCTTCCAGCAGCTGGTTGTAGGGAGTGAGCAACTACAAGATCTCATTTAACCCCTTTCTTCACAAAATACATTCTAAAAGGGCCAATGAGCATCAAGTGGTGTGAAGTATTTGTACTTTTTTTGAAAAAGGAAAAACAGAAATTGGCAACAAAATAAAAAGATTAATCAGGGGAAACTAATTGAAATAATTTTTTTTCAGATTGACAAGTAATTTGTTTTTATAATATGTAAATGGACACAAAAGAATCAGACTAGTACTGAGAGGTCATAACAAGGGGGAAATAAGTCATTACATCATCACTACGGGAAACGTTTCAATGAGACACCTGCAGAGCAGGGCCGCTGAGAACTACCTGAGTTTTATTTTTTCCTTTCTAAATTTTTCAAACCTTTTTTTTTCCCCTCTTTCTTTATTTCTCTCTCTTTTTCAGTATACAATCATTAAAAGGAGGGCTACGACCTTGAACACGTCACCTGGTGCACCTTTGCTTTTTTCCCCTCGGCCTTTAAGCAAAATATAAAATGGTGGACAAAAACCACAGGGGCCCGATCAAAAAAAAGCAGGAGTGGAGTGCAGTCAACCAATCACATGCTCAGCAGCCATCGCCACGCTTCCTGGATTTTTATACATGTGAGATAGAGATGAGGAGGGGAGCTGATGGCTAGTTTGTACTGGAGAGTCCTAGTTGCTCCTCACATGACAGCAAGAGTTCCCATAACTAGGTCAACCCACAAAATGGCCGCCTTCAGGATTCATCATTGTTGGAAAGGTAAGTCTACACTCGACAGGAAGCTTTCAGAGCCTCCAAACAATACAGAGCTCGAGTGTGAAAGGACAATATGTTAATTTATCCATATTCCGCATTTAGGAGGGAATTAAAGGAAATGAAGCACTAATGTTTGAGGGGCAGACCAGCCTTCTGTGCTCATCTCAAAACTCTGCCTCTGCTGTTGCTCAGGAATCGAGGCGTGGCTGGCTGAACAGGTTGTGCAGGTAGAGAACAGGAAATACAATCGCCAAGGTCAAAGGTTAACTCCATTCAACGCCGTAGCAACATACACATCTTTGGGTATATATTTTGGTAAAATCATCCCAATAGTCAGCTACCCACCCCATCTGAGTTTTTCAACACCTATCTGAGAGACGTCAGTATAATACAAGGACTTTTTAAAGCATGCAACAAAATGAAAAACAAAATAAAGGTTTAAAATACAATTTTTTTCTCTTTAAGAGTGAAGACCTAAGGATCTCAAAGATAGAATTCTGCAATCTTAATTAAAAACTGATGCAACATGAATGAACATTTCACTGAGTAATACTGAAAAGAAAAAAACAAAGTCTTACCGGTGAAACTAGGTGTTGGGTTCAAAGCAGCAGGCTCTCTGGACTGGAACACCATCAATGTGCTAATAGCCCCACTTAAACAATAAACCAGCCTGTGTAAATCCTCCGACGTGTTTGTTCACAACACAGTCAGACAGGTTGAGTTCAGACTTATGTCCAAGTCCTCAACACACATCACCAAGCATCACACAGTCCACACTGAAATATTGGTTACTTGTGCTGAAATTAGAGTTCATGGTTGTGCATTTTAAGTTCTTAACTCTTTAAATGAGGCCGTTTCCTCTTCAGCCCACCCCTTGTACACAGTAACAAAGTACAGATGTGCAAAGGGTGCTCAGATTTTACATTTGTATCTATGATATAATGGTCCAGTGACATTTGTCCTTCTACAAACAGTGTGGTCCAAATGCCAGCCCTGTTTGGCACAGAAGTCTCACAGATCATTTTGGCACAAAGCTTTCATCTGAAATATTTGGTTTCTTGGTGATAAAAAGGCAGAGTTTAACCAGGCAATTTACAGTAGATTCGACAAACCAAAAGCTGTTCAGGGCTGCCAGGTGGAGTGATGACCTTAACAAAAGTTTTAATTTCAACTCGGAACAGTACCACGATCTTTGGTCCTAGAGCTATGAGACATGTACTGCACTGTAACACAAGAAGATTCAAAGAATGAGGTATATTTGTAATGCATAAATATCTGACGAGGTATGCTTAAATAAAGAGCAAAAAATGAGGTATTCAGAATGAGAGTAACAAGTTGAGGTATTTGAATGTGTAAATGCACAGTAGCTATGAGTGACACATTTGAGGTATTCAGGAGTTGAGGTATACAAGAGAGGAGGTACGACAAGCGTTGAGGTACAGGATATCTGAGATATGAGGATGTAAATCCTGATCATGTGCACACAGGCCCTCTCCTCAGAGGCGAGAGCCGGTCAGTGACTCTTTTCATGGGTCCCAGGATTCTGTGCCAGGCTAAGAAGGTGGCTAACAGAACCTTAATTGTCTTAGTGCTTCCAGCGGGACACAGATTTTAACATAGGGTAAGGGGATTCAAAACCCCACAATGCTTTCACAACAAAGATTTAGAATTTGTTTCTATGGAAATTAGAGAGGGATATAAAGGCTAATGAAAGATGCTACTTTGAGCCTACAGGCCGACTAAAATGAATGACACGGGGGCATCATTTGATGGCTGATGCGATAAATGCAAGAGGGAAGAAAGGGGTTCTCTTTGGTGCGGGTTTCCTCTGTTCTCTACTCAAACATCCCTGCAGACAGACCAAAAGGGTTTTCTTTTCAAACCCGGCCTTAAACAGCGAGGGTCTTGGTCTTTTGCAGGATGTGAAAGTACTCATGCACAATAAACTGTGACCCAAGTACACTTTATTTGTCTAAGCCCAACAAGGACAGTGCTATGAACTCTGTGAGTTTTGTGAACTTTAGACTTCCCAGCAACAATGATTATTCAAGAAAATGTATTTTAAAGGGAGGATTTGTTTTTTAAATAGCTAAATCTACAGTTGGCCAATGTGCAGAAATTCTAACTTTGGTTGACAATATTTGGTCTATAGACCTTCATCTTTAGAGGAATCCGTCAACTAGCGCTGAATCTGGAGATGTCTTCACAGCTCCAAACATCAATAAATAGGGCAGGGCTTCACAATGGAGCCCTCCTCATTGGACTGGACTACTGGCCCCAGGAGCCGAAGAGAGGTGGCTTTCAACCACAATCTGAATCCAGAGGATTGCAATGTTAGCTCTGTAATTTGATGTCATTAATGTCCTCTGGACGGCCAAATTAGAGGTCTTCATCTGAGGCTTTTGTTACACAGCATGCCTCATCAAAAAGGTGTCATTCAATAATATGATTAAATCTCTATGTTAAGATCACTAATAGATCCAGATCTTGAAAGATTTTTCTCCAAAATCCTTTGGTGGGTCCTCCCTTTTGGAGGAGATGTGCTCTCCTTGCATATGAGTCTTTGCATCATCGCTGTTCATGCAACTGTCTCAATAGCAACAACACAGTTTGTCTTACTTTATCAAAAACAAGAATTCATCCAGTCTTACAAGACACGGTTGGGGTTGGGGGGAGAGTACGGATGCTATAACTATTTGGGTAATTTTATTACAGGGCTTATTTCGGGGATCTCAGGGAAAATTTTGAAGACGCTTCCCTAAACTCTATATTCTCGTGAATCAATAAATTCATCAAATCAACATTAGCAAGTGAAGCTAGAGGGAGAGCCTGAAAAGTACTGATCATTTTAATCAGTCCTACAATGACCTGAGCTAATTTTGATTCTACTAAGTTTTTTGGCATCGCTTCTCACACTCTGAGGCTATCATGACACTACAAACTCCACAGAGCCACAAAGAGACAAGGATTGATGCACAAGCGAAAAAAAGGACAAGCCTAAAACATGAAAAGGACACTACTGTACCCTAGCTTCCCCTCCAAGCAAAGCCTTCTAATGAGAATAAATCATGCAGCCTCTACAGTGGTCTGAGTATTGTCTCAGCAACAACATTCAGGAGGTTCACTTTAACTCATATTTCAAAATGCACAGCAAGAATTCCATTAATCCTGTGCAAATATCAACTGAAGAGTCTATTCTTTTTTGTCTCTCTTAAATAACAAACTATAGAGTTAGACTTTTCTTCTTTGTAAAACTTCACGGACTAAAACCTCTGCTCAGTGACTATGAGTACATTCATAAAGAGCTAAATGAGGTAGGTGTGGAGCAGAGGGTGTAAGATTTCAAGAAAAGTGAGAAATTCCCTGAGATGGATACGTAAGGAGAGCTTACAGAAAGGATTCAGAGCAGTTGAGTCAGACAAAGGGATATATGGCTCTTTTTCTACTGATTATCATTTTGTAGAGGTCCCCTTTGTCATACAAACCATAGATATCTGATTTGGAAAATATCAATGCAAATGAAAAAAAAAAATCTATAGTTTTATTTTCCCTTCATTTCAACATGCTCTCAATCCTCTCTAAGCTCCTGTTGTGACGGTTGATTCATTCTCTCGCCTCCATTTCCTTCATCAAAAAAACTGCAAGGACAAACGGAGGGAGAGAATGCAAAAATAAACTTTTTTTTTTTAGAATTTGAGAATGCGATTATTTCCAAAGTCAACAACCACAATGACTCCGTCAGGCGTCACAGCCACACCGGAGGGGCGATCCATCTGTCCAAAGCCGCTCCCCTGTGTGCCAAATTTGCATAAGAAGTTTCCATTGGGCTCGAACACTTGGACTCTGTGGTTGCGGGAGTCGGCCACGATGATGCGGTTCTCCTGGTCCACGGCGACACCCTGGGGCCGCAGGAACTGCCCGTCCCCTGTGCCCTCGGAGCCCAGAAAGCGAGCCGACTGGCAGTCGGGCCGGATTACCAGGAGCCGGTGGTTGTTGAAGTCGGTCACCACCAGGTGGTCTTCGTGGTTAAAGGACACTCCTCTGGGAGAGTCAAAGTGTTTCCACAGGGCCCCTTCAAAGCCGTACTTGTTGAGGAAAGACCCGTCAGGGGCAAAGAGCTGCACACGGTGGTTCCTGGTGTCTGAGACCAGGATCTTACCCTCAGAGTTGACAGCCACATCCCAGGGATAATTGAACTGCCCATTCTTGGTACCCTTTTCCCCAAACTTGAGCAGGAACTGGCCCTCAAAAGTAAACACCTGTCAGACAAAGCAAATGTCTTAAAGTCCAACATGTTTATATGTCGTGTGGAGGGAGATAAAGCAGGAGGAGCTGTGTGTTTATACATGTACAGAACACAGGTTTACAAATTTTCAGAGGCCAACATGCTTCTGGAACTAACACAATTTTAGTCTTTTTTCATGCAACTTTCCTGTGGACTTGGGAAATTTAGACAGATAGAATACATAAGTTGTGTTGATCCATGTTTTCATACCTGTACACGGTGATTGTCCTTATCAGCCACAATGATTCGTCTCTGACTGTCACACGCAACCCCAGCTGGACGATCAAACTGACCAGGCCGAGAACCCAGAGAGCCAAACTTATGGTGGAAGGCGCCACAAGGCTTGAATATCTGGAGAGGGAGGAACAAAAACTTAGATTTTCTTATGATGTTACATTGCATCCCTTACTTATGTTTTGGGGAAACTACAATTAGCATACTGCGGTTGTATGAGTTAGCCTACCAGTGCAGTTTCTGTTTACATATTTCTACATACTTTTTTATTTCAGATTCATATACGGTCACTGTGAGCTTTAAACACTGAAATGTAATCACTACGTTTGAGTCCAAGTGACAACTGATCAAAAGTTGAAGAAATCCCCTCAAGCAGTCTTGAGAGATCACATTGAAAAAGGCAAAAAACATTATTTGAGGCCATCGTGACATTTGACCACCAAGTGAATTTTATCAGATTTAATGAAATGTCCCTACAGACACAGGACCGTGGGGTGACCTTTGACCTACAAGAACCAAAACCAATTTTTTGAGTGTGAATGTTTGTTACAAATACAGAAAACAAAATAGATTTTTAAAATGTGCTTCAATTTAATTTATTGGCTTAATTTAACAATGGCATTAAGAAGTCAGGTTTAGAGAAACCAATTCACCATCCATATTTGACAATAAAGATAACTGATCAAGCCGTACCTGTATGCGGTTGTTGCTGCGATCAGCCACCACCACGTATCCCTCCTTGTCCACGCTGATGCCCCAGGGCCGACAGAGCTGACCGTCTCCTTCCCCCTCACACCCGAAGGCTGAGACTTGTGAACCCAGAGACCCATAGCTGCGCCCCGACTTCACGATCACCTTAAAGGGGCTGCCCTGGATGTGCTGGTTACACACCAGCACTGACACGAGGTGCTCCCCTTCACACTTGGGCATGTAGCTGATGGTGTAGGAGCCGTTCTGGTGGTCTGTTACCTCTGCTGCAGACAGGTTACCATCGCCGACTGGAATGATTATTGCAGACACTGTGTCCCCACCAGAGAGACGTGGCTCGCCATCATGGTCATATCCAATCACAGTAAAGGAGGCAGGCTTGCCACGAAGCGCACTTTTCAGACCCTCACCGTGGGCTTTGGTGACCGGGGCAAAAGCTCCACTACTGATGAGACCCATGGACTGGGTGGCTATGTACAGAGTCTAAGGGAAACATGATGGAATAAATTCAGTTGTTTTCTTTTTCTAAATAGTATACTGATAAACTCAGAGCAGATGAAGGCCATGTCTTCATTAGTGCAGTTACTATTTTGATATATTGATATTTTCCCTTCTGAAAAAAAAATCTCCACACAACCTTTGTTTTACAAAATAACAATTAATAATAATTGAGTGCTTACCTGGTCTGGAGGAGTAAACATGAAGCGGTCATCCTCTTGTGGCTGAAGCAGGCCCCTGAGGGCCTTGAGCTCATGGATCTGGGTGAGCATTCGCTCCCTAGCCAGCAGCACGTCGAGGTGGTGGCCCTCATCCAGCACCTGGCTGACGGCAGCGATGGTGCTGTCCAACTTGGTCAGACTCTGGTGCAGCTTCTCTACTTGCAGGTAAAGAGACTTGGCCTTCACCTGACGGATCTTCTCTACCTGCAGGGAGACAGGGCACATGTTTACTATCACCAAAGATGATTTAGTTTAATAACAAGCAGGAAAAGCACATGACAAAGGTGCTTTATTGATGTGTTATTATATCATATAGATTATTATGTTATATATTTATTGAATGTTTAATTATGATGTTTTTCACCCAAAACACAGACACAACTACATTTAATCTGACTATTCTAGGGCTGCAATTAATGATTATTTTCATCATCTATAAATCTATCGATTACTTTCTTGATTAATCGTTTAACTGCTTGGTCCACAATGTGAAACAATTTTGATCTGTGTTAACCAAACTCCAAGATGACATCCTCAATTTCTTGTTTTGTCCACAAACCAAATAAACTTTTCTGTTATTAGAGGAGCAGAACAGAAAATATTCACATTTGAAAAGCTGAAATTTTGACTTCACCACACCCACTTCATTTATTATATTAATTTTAGTGCAGATATGAAGCCTACTGGACCCTGTCACTATAGATTAGTCACAGTAAGTGTGTCCACAGGATGGCAGCAATGTGCTGACCATACCAAGTCTGCCGGATATTCAGGAGGAAGAAGAAGAAAAGTGCCTGACATGCATGTAGTGTCTGCACAGTAACTTAACCAACACAGTAACAGGTAGATTTGGTGAGAAGAAGTGAGACAGAAGAAGAGCTCACTGACACACTGCACACATGGGAAATTAATTGCACCTCTAAGTTTTTGACTAAATGTATTGCTGTTTGTCTGCATCACACATTACATGTAATCTTTAGTTTCCCTAAGTGCCCAAAAGAACCAGAAATTGAGTAATAAAATGTTACTAGGGTGAATTATTTGCCTTATTATAATAAAAGGACAGAGGACCAACCGTCACTTAACCATGACACATTTGTGTTACGGTGAGAAGGCGGATAAAGTTACAGTAGAGTCAGTGAGAATAAAGCATTAAAGAGGGTGGCAGAACCTGAGGAGCGAAGATTGTGCTCTTACTTAGCCTCACCTAACAAAAAGAGTTGAACACAATAGGCTGACTGGCTTTATGGTTCAAACTTTGAAAGAGACAAAGAGACCAAAAGAGAGGGGTCTATTGTTTATCCCTGGAATAAGTGGAAGTGCAATTTGCATCTGTGAGACTAGAGTTACACTTTATAGTCACTGAAGACAAAGACTTGAGTTAGGCTTTTGATGGACACCACTAGTTTTAGCTTCTCTGTTCAAACACCCATTGGTAGAGTTGGTATGTATTTCAGTGCAAAACCCAGAGAGAGAGGGAGGGAAAACTGGGGAAATAGTCTGGACAATGGGGTCCAAACATTCTTGGGAGTTTGCCTTTTACATATGCAGAACGCTGCAGGAGATTCTCCAGTCTCTTGTGATGAGCACAAAAACCTCTGCAGCTTTCAAGTGAAGGGTAGCGTCTGGGTAGAGCATGCAGGAGGCAGGACATAACTTATAAATTCCGCTGTGGAGATCCCAAGTTTTCCACAAATACACCCCCTTCCGCAAGATTTCAGAAGGTTATACAGACTTCTGTGCATGCCTGAAAGCAGCTCTACTTACAGGTAACAATGCCTCATGCAAACACAACTACTGTCCTACTCATTCACATGACATATGCATGACACACCCAGACTCCCACTCACTGTTTTCAAGTCTCATGTTTTACCAGTGAGTCACATTTGGCGCCTTTGCCATCGTCTCAGAGTCATGAATCTCTCTCTAGCTGGTTGACATAAAGCTAAGTCAAAGTGGAGAACTTCCTGTCAGTGCAGGTGACCATCGCAACAGGGGACAGCTCACAGGAGTGAGCTGAGTCACAAAGTGTGCCACTGTTATTGTGTCAAAACAACCAAACTCCTTTATACTGGAAAAAATACCTCACATAGTTAACTTTACACATATTTTCAATTCTATTATTAAGTTGAGGTTATGGGGTTTGATTTATTATTTTCACGACCTATTAAGCCGTTTTATCCCCTAAAACAGTGCTGAATGCAGATAACAATTTGGATTCCGACTCTTTTATCCAAGCAAACATCCAAAACACAAAATTATTCAAAAACTGTGTAAAAAAAGAGAAAGTCCCAAATACATACATGTCAGAGGATGGAACCAGTAATATTTGGCATTATCACGTGATAAATACCTTAGAAATAACTAATTGAATCAATTAAGTTTGTAATTGTGTAAATGTTTTTAGAAGTGAAGTACACACTTCCACCACACAAAATAACACAAGCAGCAGTAAACCAACGGCTAAATTCTATTAGTAGCTGAGGGATATGATTTTGGAGTCGGAAGCCTGAGTTACATATAACATACCAGAGCAAAGCATCTAAGTTCATTAAATGTGTAATTGTTCTTTGAGTCAATGGGTCAAGTTGCAGGAAAGAAGAAAAAAAGAGAACAGGGAAATGTGTGTGTGTGTGTGTGTGTGTGTGTGNTGTGTGTGTGTGTGTGTGTGTGCGCGTGTGTCTATATCAGGGTCAGGGATAAAGACTGAGTCCTGTAGTGGTGTAAAAAGGATTAAAGAGGGAACATGGGTAAGTGAAAACCTTCTATGTGACTCTTTGACCTGCACACATGCACACACACTGAGCAGTACTAAGATCTGAGACGCAGGTCACCTTTTACAATGTCACCAAACCTGCTCTGAGGAGAAGTGGAGAAATAAGAGCGTGGTGGGCTGGTGGGTGTTAGTTTAAATTGGAGTTTATGATCCTCCAGGACCAAGGCAACAAATTTGCACATGTACATAAATGTGCAAATGCACATACACACGACCATAGTCCCAATCCCATTTCACACATTCTCCCTACCCCTTGTTTTCCCCTACGAATTGGGACAGCCCTTAAAGAAGGCATTACGTCATTAGTAGTTGTCGCAGGAACCCGACACATCATCAGTAGTCCTAGATGTGAATAGACATGACAAAAAGTTTTCCCGGGTATGTCATTGTAATAACATTGTTAAGATCTTAAATAAACCAATGCTATTGCTGGCAGTTACTAAAGTGACAAATCTATAATATCCTAATAACATCCATGCTAATGCAGGTGAATCAAATTACCAGGTAAATGCTCAGGACAGGTTTTTCTGCTTTCCCTCACTTCTATGACAGTAATGGTACAGCAGAATGACATTTGCCATTCATCCCATGGAAATTGGAAATTGGATGCTCAGCATTATTTCACGTTTGATTTAAAAGCACACAGCTTCAGGCTACGAGAAGTGGTCTGAAGGCAACCCTGCCAGGGTGCAATGTTCTTAGAGGAGCAGTTAAGTTCAGTAACCTTGCTGCTGTATGCTGGTTATAGTAAGTGCATCGTGTATCTTCAGAGATGCGATATGAAAATATGTCAATATACAGGATCATCACGCAACGATTTAACAGCGATTTTTTAAGGTTGTTGTGAAAAAATGACCATAATACATTGAAACAATATTAAACTAAGATATTACAATTATTATCGTAATTATAAAATCCTCATTGATGGAGAAAATACTACATTGGTGGGTCTCTCTCCCATCTTGCCTTGATTCGCAAGGCATTCTGGGAACTTTTCATAGCCCTTGGTTTAAAGTGTGGGCCTGAAAAATCTCAGTTTCGAGGCTGTACTTGCCCCTACCCCTCCATCCCAACAAGAATCGGGTCACCCTACCCCTACATGTGAATGTGCAAAAACGGAGGGGTAGGGCTAAGGGGTGAAATGGGATTGGGCCTTACTATCTGGTTTCAGCCATTTATCATATGAGGGGGGTTTTGTATTTATATGCGTGTGTTTCTGTTACAGACCTGAGAGTACAATGGTATTAATGTGGTGCGGTGTCCTTTTTATGACATTTTGTGTCGTTATACATTTATTACCTGAGGGTGAGGGATTTGGAGGCATGTGAAGGGCCTCAGGGATGAAGGCTCTTTCTTTCACACAGAAACCCCTCTCCCTCTCAGAGTAACTTTAAACCTGAGAGGCCCCTGCAGAGGGTTTCTGAAGTGCAGGCTGCAGAATAACCTTATGAACTAGATCCATGGTTTTGTTTAACTAAGTTTAATTAACCAATCTGAACAAGTGCACTATAAAGCCCTATGACACTGGTAAAACTAAATGCCACTGGTTTTTGTCTGCAATGGGAATAGATACAATCTACATTCTTTCCCAGGTCACTCTCAGCAGTTTACGAAGGGTTTTATTGGCTACAGCGTGATAACAATCACACCCAGGTGAACACACCAATTTCTACTTCTTTATTTGGGCAGTTTAGCCCCTGACAAAATATGGAACTAGTTATAAAAAACATGCGTATTCCTGCTGAAAATTGGGTGTAAAAATAGTATAAGCTTACCCTATCACATCTCTACAGTACATTCACATTACTGCTCAAATGTGAACTTAGGTATGGATGCAAATGGCTAGGTGTGGGTAATAATTAAGTAGTTTTTTAGTATCACAAAAATAAAAATAAAAATTAAAAAAGGTAGAGAGTTGCTCTTATTCAGAAAATATCCATTTACTCAATTAATATGGCTGTCACAAGCAGTAATTCATTCACCATGAACAAAGTCACAACACGCCTGAATGAAAACACTACAACAACAGTACTCTTGTCAACAGGATAGTTCATTAGCACCTGAGTGACAAGTATGAAAAAAATACTTGAACTGTTCACCATTGGTCCATTGGGCCACAGTTACCAGACCAGAACAAGACAGAAACTATAAAACTCACCTTCCACAGTAGTTCACATTCCCTTTCCTCCAGCGCTTTCTTGTGTCTTAGGACGAGTGCCTTCACCTCAGTCTGCACCACCTTTGCCTTTATCTCCACTTGCTCTGCCATGGCCTGGACCTTCTCCATGCTTAGCTGGAAAAACAAAAACACAATTACCTTACTGATGAGGTACAAAATCAGAAGCAAGACAGAGAAAAGGCAGTAACGTGGTGATGAACAAAGATACATGATGATCTCTCACCCTGCAGTGGGACAGAGGGCCACACAGGAATATCTAAATGCTCAAACAAAGCACTGCCTGGTCTGTTTTATGGCTCAGGTGGGATAACAGATGACCTCCAGAAACAGGATGCAGACCATCAGGAAACATTAAAAGAAAGGACACAATATGTGCCATCTTCCTGGCAAGCGAATGCAACAACACTTGCTTGGGTTTTGTCATCTATTCAATTCTTACATTTGGCGGCTCTTCGACAAGGGAAAAGGAAACGTGGGTCAGGAATAGGAAGTCAATTCACAGTGCACAAAATGAAAGAGCTTCCTACTGAACTGAGTCATCACTCTATCGTATTTAAAATTGTACATTGTAATACCTTTAGCATAAGAGGAGCGCACTACATTTAAAACAGTTTTCCATCTCAAAGCACTTATCCTTAACCTTAGTTACCTCCCCTAAGAAGGTCAAGTTTTTATCTGCGTTTATTCAACTGTTATTAGCAGGATTACACAAAATTACCATTTCATTGGATGGAGGGATGTGGAATGGCTTGTTTAAGGAACTGATATTAAGGAATTTGTGCACATAAAATCTGGATCCAGTGAATATAAATGTGGTTTCATAAGGAGACTATTGGGCCTTAGCGAGTGTATGCTTGTGCTATTCTAGTATAAGTTAAGTTTCGGATTTCAAATGTCAATATAATTATGCATTGAAAAGTGTCAAGAGTTGAACGTTTGAATAACATGGCATAGATTCCTAGGCTTTTTTATAACTAGATATTTACTACTGAAATCAACCTATTTAAACTCCATCTTATTTCAAAAATATTTAACACTGTATTTTATTTGTGTGAAAAGGGGTTAAAATATTTATAGTCCACAACCTAATGAATTGAAAAATTAAAGTTTGGTAGCATTACTGAGGTAATGTATTATCAGCAATATCCAGTAATCTTTGGTCTTGTATGTAAAGTTGTGCTGAACAGGGGGTTCTTTTTATCCAATGACAGGGTGGTATTGGATAATTGAGATTGGAGGACATCTTTGTAATTACAGGAACTGAAAAGCAACTATGGTTTAAACTTGGAAATTATACTTGCGAGGGCTTTAGTCTTCACAACAGACAATTTAAGCAAAATGCGTATTCTTCTCTTTGTCTCCCTTCCCACCTCCCCCAGTGTTTTATCTGGCTTTTCCTCTGGCGTTTTCTGGGAGGTCACAGGGTGAACTGGACCTCACAGGGACGTAGGGGAGGTAGGATAAGGCTTCCTTTGTGATATCGGCCGCAGGGATCAAAGGTCGGCTAAACCTCTACAGGTCATGATCTGCAACCCATGTCTTAAGACACATACTGCCCACCCCCACTGCAACCCAGCAAGAACAAAGCCTGGCAGCAGGGTACTTTTCTCTTACACCCAGCCTTTTCAGGCTGGCAGCTAAAGGGTCAACAAAATCAAGCACCCAGAATAGCAGGGAGGGAATCCTTAAGGAAGCGGGGGGTGGAAACTTCTCAAAATGGGACGAAGAAGGTGGTTATGTGAAGTGTAAAAGCCACCCCCTTTCTCCAGTTGTTTTTGTTTATTTAAAAAAAACCCACTTTATTTAAGTTTTTTATTTTATTTTTCTACCTTCCTCCCTGAATCTTTGTCTCTCCTTGTCTATATTTGTTTACTTCCCATTCCTTGCTCCAGCTCAGACTTTAATTTAAACACTTTGTTTTCAGACATCTTCTGCCTGCTGTGATCTCCCTCTCCCCCTCAGTGTCGCCATCTTCTCTGCTTCTGTGTTTCCCTCAACATTTCCAGGAGAGTACAGCTTGGAACACAAAGAGGGTCAAACTGACCAATCGGGCTGCAGAGAGAAAGAGCTCCGTCCAACCAGGAGGTCACAAGTCCAGGGTCAGAGGTCAGGGAAGATAATGGGTGTGGAGTGGGCAGAAATTTCCGACTGCAGGGGACAGGGTTGTGTGTGTTTGAGTGTTTACATATTATCTGGCGTCAGCACTTAACTACGGTGGTGACCTGGGACAAAAATGGACAAACATTCACCTAACACCACAAGGTCTTGCCAGATGGTAGGCAGTGTGTCCTTTGACTCCGCTGCATGTATCCTGGTGCTTTCCATTCATTCAAATATGTTGAGGTCTGGCATTTGAAATAGAGCCAGAAGAAAACTGATATTTGGACGGTAATATTGTTATTCTATAAAGTTTTTTTGTAGAATGTTAGTCCGTTTGTAGTAGAGGCAATAGGTTTGCTACATTTTTTTAATTGTTTTTGCTCAATAAGACACTACAAATGCTATTTACAATATACATATATAGGAGAGGTTCATGGTCCTTGCTTAACAAACAATGATGACACAAATTCAAAATGACCCCAAACTGCTACTTCTACGTTATGTTCTATGAAACAATGTTTTCAGAATGATTCATATCAAGATATTATATCCACTGACACACATTTTAAAAAATGTGTCAATATATCATATTGGTCAGGCTCTAGTTTAATCCCTGATGTATTTTGGAATTCAAAGCCATGACATAATTACCCATCCATTATGGGACAAAGTGTGGGTGACTCCTTGAGAAGCAAGAGAAGGTTGAGGACTGCTGAGGAGATAGTACATGCCATCATGTCAAATGACAACAACTAGTGTTTCATGTTTTAGTCAAGTCTTTATCAAGGTCATGGTACAGCCCTACCTTCCAGGAAAGAAAGGCGGCACACCCTGGTGTGAGCGATCTACCCTTGTCCCTCTGCACATTTATCTCTATATACACACAAGGCTACAACCAAAGAGGATTTTAAAGTTGTAATTGTTTGGTTCTTAAAGAGAAACTTGTCATCATGCATTCCCAGAGCTAATTTTTTTTTTTGTGAAAACCACTTTGTAATCTTGTTTAAATAAGTGCAATACAAATAAAGTTAATATTATTATGATATCAAACTGTGCAGGGCTTTGGACTGTCTTTATAAAAACTGTGTTAGAATATAATGGAGCATTATTTCATTTGTTCATTGCCTCACTGGAGTAACAGGCTAACAGTTGTAGAAATTGTTGCTTCATACAAAGTGCAGTACAATTTATTTGATTGATAGGACAATACCCATCAATGGAGTACAGGGCACAGCTTGTTACCCTTATAATTCTAAATATCAACAGTTCATTATTAACTTTTTCTCACTGCTTGTACTTTAGTTAAAGGTCCAGTGTGTAAGATTTAGGTGTAAAGGATCTTTTGGCAGAAATTTAATGTAGAATAATCCTCAGTATGTCTTCACTAGATTGTTTCATCTAAATTGTATGAATTGTAGCTTTCTTTACCCTAGTAAAAGCCCTTTATGTTTACATCGAGGGGGTCCTCTCTACGGAGGCCACCATGTTTTTTACATTAGTTCAGACTGAACAAACTAAACACCTTTTGACTTTTTATGACAACTGACGCTACCACGGGTTTGGAAGGGGAGGGTGAGGTGAGGGGTGTTCAGCTGCAACATGCAATTTCACCACTGAATATCACTAAATTCTACACACTGTACCTTTAAATTTACTCAAGGCAGAGAAAATCAGAGACTTCTGACATTTATGCAGCCACTGATGACATTCCATTGATGAATGAAAAAATGAATGCAAATAACTCAAACTGTCAAATGACTAATTCTTTCTATCATTTGTTTCAGAACTATTTGAATGCATTTCCCTTATGTCAGTGCTGGTAATGGTCTTAATTGGTGCTTAATGAGCTAACAGACACAACAAGCCTGTGATTAATCTGCTCATCGTGCATTTGTAACTATATGAGCCTGGATCTTAGAGGGGGGAGCTGCTACCACCCCATCTATAATTACGTAAATGAAGAGAGACAGTGTTTGTTTGTGTGGGGGAGAGAGTAAAAGGCGGAGGGGGGTTGTGAGGGAGTGAGTGAATAGGGGGAGGGCAAAGTGTTCCACATCTTAAAAAAAGAGGGGAATTTTCCTTTCTCTAAAATCTTTTAAATGCCTGATCTACCCTCCCCCATCCTCCTCTCCACTCCTCCTCCCCCTTTGACCTTCAGTCCTGCCCCCGCCAGATCTCACCCCATGTGACCCACCCCCTTTAAGGGCCAGCTGGACACCTCTAACCCCGGGCTTCCCAGCAGGCCAGGGCTGGTCACTCTCAAACATAGTCAAGCTGATCATCTCTAATAGCAGATCGAGGGAGGATGGAGAGACACAGCTGCTCTCTCCAGCATCTTGTCGCATTTGCAGGAGACAGATGAGTGTGGATCTGTTCGGTTTGACCTTCCAAAAGATGGGCTTTATATTAGACCTCAGAGAAATGTGCAGGAGAGATTTTGGCTGTGTTGAGCTCCGACTTAAATCAGTTTGACATATTTGAGTCCAACAGAATGACTCAAGACAATGATTAAAATCATTTGGGCTTGTTCCCTTTCTTTCATTTGTAGATTTTCCACACCTGCATCCTGATTTATTTAATGGTCTTGGTCCCGGACTTAAAGGTTAGTAAACAAAAATCTAAATGAATAAAAGATGGAGGGATATTTTCCAAAATGTTTCCAAGGTCTGTCTGTATTCCTGCCTCACCTGCACAGCCTGTCGTCCTTGTTCTGCATCTGCCAGCAGCTGGATGGTGATGGCTCTGCAGTCCTGCACGGCGTCTTGCAGGTAAACAAAGGTGTGGCCCATGTGACGGCCCACACTGCACTCCCTGCAGATAGGTACCGAGCAGGTTTCACAGAAGAACAGGAACACCTGGAGAAAACAGAGAGAGGGAGATAAATAATTATATTTTGTCTTCAAAACTACACCTGCTGTCATGACCATACAACAAAAAAGGGTGCAGAACACAACTCCCATTGGACTTCATATACTCTAGAAATTAACAAACTTGATCAATTGAGATGTGTGATGCGTCTACAACTCACTGCTCATTGTGATTGTTTTTTTAATCTCATAAGTTTTTAGCCACGAAAACAACTACGGAGAATAAGAAAAATGCAGCAGGAGATTCTCCAGTGGGCACATTCACAACAACTAAAATCTCTCGAGTGTTCGGGCGAGGGGTGGCGCGCCATGCAGAGGAGGCAGGATGTAATGTATAAGTTTCACTGCAGAGATCACATGGTTGGCCTGTATCACCAAAAGTTACAGAATCCTTCCATGTTGACATCTTCATTGAAGTCTTCTTCATTTATGGCTCCTCTTTTTCATTCAGAGAAAGTTGCATTCTTTTTGGTTGTTCTCTCTAGTTTTGTGTTCGTCATGTTTTCACAATCATCACCTCAGGTAAAAGGGGTTTTTGCGTAACAAATGACACGTTCAAAGTCCTTGGGCTCCGTTATAATGCTTTTATTTATACATAACTAAATTACATAACGTTCTTTTCTTTTTCTTACCAACCATCTGTAACAGCAGTAAATTTGAATATATCAATGATAGCTCGAGAGCCACCGTTAAGATTTTAATTAATTAAATCTTTAAAATTCCATACTGTACCTGAAGTATACTAATCTGACCCTAAAACCACGCCAGAATAGAGAAGGACCTGTGAACAACCTTCAAATGAAAATAATTGCTATGGTATTGACCTGTGACAAGATGACAGTGGATGATGATTTCTACAACATATACAGATTACACAGATTAATCTATTACCTGTTGAGAAGTGCAGTCTTATGTATGCTATTACACAAGCGTGAGTGACAGATGATGAAGTACAAAGCAGCACTGGTTGACAAAAGTGCCCCCATCCCTTGGGAGAAGAAGCGTAAACGTCATTTAACCTTTGTTGAAATAAAAAAAAAACCTGAGCTTTGCTTTAAAGCTCCTGTATAAATGCTGATTGCTTGTAATGGAAGGCTAATTAAATATGCACTGGCCATCACATCCCACAGAGACACCAGATCAATTTCCTCCAATCACAGGATACCTGAGTGGATGGGGAGGGGCCTGCAATCAATCCATCAATAAGGGCTGTTCCCCTGGGGAGCTGCATAATCTAATGACGGACACACACACCTCCCCCTTTATCTGATTTCCTCCTTTCTACCCCCTTACTTAAGCTCCTCTTCGATGCTTTTCTTCTTGTCCATTTCTTGCCGTCTCTCCTTCTGCTGAGCCCTGTCATCCGCTGCTGTCTCTGAACAGCTCTGTCACTCAATAACCCGCTCCTCTTTTCTCCCCTCCTGTCCTATCACGCCCCCCATGAACATCCCCTGAATTCCAAGGGGACGGGACACACAAAAGTGAGGAATGCAGCTGGTTTAGTGTGGAGGTTATCGGTCCAACACCGACTCTAATAGATGGATCAGGTATTGTTGACAGTTGAGCCAATCAATCGTACTAAATTCTATGCTGTTTTGTTGACACACACACACATACTACGTTATGCAGTGCCAGTGGACCCAAGGACTAATATAGCATGAACCATGCACTAAACCTTTAATTTATGTTTATTTTGTGTTTTATTTAATTCATTTATTTTAAATAGTACTACTCAACTGTGATTCATAAGGTTGTTTGAACTAGTGTGATTAAATTTGATTTACATTTTGTTTTCACTGGAATCTAAATTTTGGTACAATTTGTTGTGAAATTTAAAAGGTTTACATTTGAATGTTAATCATTACAAATGTATTGTTTTACCAATAAAGAACAATTCAGTAAACTTTATTTGTTACATTTGTTCTATAAAGTTAGGGGAGGAATTCAAGCCCTGTGTTGCATAACACATAAAATAATGATCCCAGCCAACCAAGTATATGTGTCAGTATCAGGACCGAAAAAAGCATCACCAGTGCAGATTGCCTGAGATGGACACAGGGCTGGGGCAGCGTTTAGATCAAATGATGCTGCTCTAATATTGACAATTATATGGCAGGTGGTTTACGCCACTGTTAATTCTATATAGCGAGAGTAGAGAAAAAAAAGCCTCTGGACAGGAAAATGCTGACTTGCTTGCTCCTGGGGGTTGTTAACATAAGAGAAGCCTCAGTTAAAGCTAATGGAAAATGCTAATCTAGTTTATGACACACAACCAGCCACACCGCTCTAATAAAGGTGCTAATTTACTCAGAGCTTGGCAGTAACAGTTGCCCCGAACAACCAACTCAGACTAAGTCAGCCATTCAATGCACTTTAATTGCCCCTATTGGCAACAATTTTTTTTGAACAGTTAAATAAATCCCTTCATCCCTCTAATGCAGAATCTTCCACCAAACTGGTCCACCATGTGTGATCCACCATCTTGCTCCTGTTGTTTACTTTTTATCGTGCATCGCCCTCTTTTAGCGACAAATCCTTCATTACAGTGCTCCAGTCCAAAATGGTGGAAATGTGGGCTGGTTCACAGGTCATCCAGAATCCAAGATAGAGGGGAACTAGTTCAAGAACCTCAGCTAAGTTGGTTCGGTCATGATTAATGAACAATAATTGTATGCCCCAATCCCAATTCATTTATACGCCCATAATATCGAAAAGATTTTATAGGCTACTCAGAAATCAATAATATAACATGATTGTGTGCTCTCATCTTTCCATTCACACGTGGAAACAAGATTCAATGAAAAACAACAGGATGACCTGCTATTGAAAACACTGGAGTCATGTTTCACGGAACTAGATACTATGACAAATAGCTGCATGACTTCAAATATCTTATATACTATGTACAGCTTATGTGTCATCAACAGCTCAACAGTCCTCGAGGTGAAACCCACGGCTGTAAATTACATAACACAATGGCCTTTTGGAATGCTGGTCGATGTTATCAGGCCCCTTTAACCAGAATACCCCTCGTCATGTTGCCTTTTTGATTGTTTCCACTGAAACAAACAAGCCGCCCCACGTGGGAGATTTTAGATACATTGTCAGCGTCCAGGAATCAGAGGTGTGATCTGTAACAACATCATCAGCGTCTTTTCCTGCATGCAGGCTCTTCCTATCCACTCACACAGCTCACTGGCTTTTCCAAGGGGTCTTCATGGAAGGATCCTATTTATCATTTACCTTCCTCCAAAGGCGTTATTAACAAAGAAGTAATTGATCAGAACTGTTATGTCTGAGTCCAGAGAACAGCAAAAAATTCTTAAAAGGCCAGGAGTTCAGCAGCTCTGTCACACATGTGCTACTAGAAGAGACCAGGCATTTCACAGCCATGCAATGCACCGGATACGCTGGACGCCCAGCGCACGTGATGAGAAATGTGAAAAACAACTTAAAAAGATGTGAAATGGGCGTGGTGTCACGCTAACAAAGTTGTAAATTCCACAGAGAACACCCGGGAGGGAGGCATTCAGGCAGAGTCAACTGACCTACAGAACTGATTTATTACATATTAACATTTGGCACGCTGACAAAATATATAGAGGCACATGATGATGTACTGGTAAAAAAACAACAACCAAAAAACTAACAACAAAACACAGACACAGAAAGTGAAATAGAAGGTCAATGTGCGCAGGGAGTTTTTGCTGGGACCAACATCCCACCAGCAGCTATAAAGCTCTGGGCAGTAGGGCTCAGCTGTGATGGGGGAGGCAAGTTATTGTATTTCATTAGTGCACCGGATGTTTCTCATTCTCCTTCTCTGCCCATTAAGCTCCTTCATTACCCATTCACACATGGACTAACCCCCTATGTTGGGTTCTTGACAAACATTAAATCAAATGGACATCTGCATTTAACTTACGTTTTGCTTGTTCTTGCTGCCGCCTGATTTGAACTGAAAAACCTTTTAATAAAGCTGATGATCAATTAGTTGTTTAATCCATTAGAAAATAAATGAGAGAAATCAACGACGATTATAATGATTCACTGGACGGTTTGTTTCAGATCACTGTAAATGTTTTTTGAGTTTTGTACAGCTGCTCCAAAGTAAAATAAAGACAACATAATTTAAATTTTGGGTACTTGGAAAGCATGAGCATTTTCACAATTTGTGACAATTAATTGACTTAAACATATAATCAATATTGCCAAGCAATAATATGCTCAATATTTAAAGTAATTGTAAGATGCAGCCCTTCATTCAAATATAGTCTACCATTACCAATGTATGAAAAAAAGCCAAGTAATGGAAAGTACTAGTCATGATTTTTATGTGCAGTAATGCAAGTCATTAAACGTAATTTCATGTGTACTACACAGCAGAGACACACAAGTAGCAAAAAGGTCAGCAACATTACACAGCCAATGCAGGGATTTTAAATAGTAACATGTTTATACACATTCACACTCGAATCTGCTAATTCAATTTGACAAGCTGAAACTTGACAAGAGCAAAATACTGAAATCCTGTAGAAAATAATGCTGAAGTGAATGCATGATGGCTTTGTGCTCACACAGCAGCACACTGCAGTTAGTCCCACCCTCCCCTCTTAGATACAGGGGAACTGGGGGAGAGGGCATGAGCTGAACTAGCCAGTAAAATCACTCTGCGCAGCATTTGCTGCCTGCATGCACAGTAGAGCGGGGGGAAGGGACAGTGGCCATGTAATGTCACATTGTGGTGCCAGAAAAACCAGGGCTGCACTGGGAACTGAGAAAGCACGTTCTTTGAATCCACAAAACGTCTCTCCTCTGATAGTGAGACGCTTGGACATCTGCAGTGGTCATGTCCAAATGCCAATTTCTCAGCAGTCTCCAGTAGACTCTATACCTTGTCAGTCACAGGCAAGAAAATAGTTTATTTTGCAATACCTTACACGTGGTGAAACTCGATTTATGACAGGAAATTAATGGAATTTTTGTGA